CTGTACTGTACAATAATTTACATTTAGATCAGGTAATTTCTAACTTTTGTAAGGCAGTGTATATGGCCGTTACTAAGTGACAAACTCGATTTCAGGAGAATAATTACAAACTATTCTATAACACGGTATACAAGCGAAGGAGTTTGGTCATAAAGGAATAATAGGCGAATGTATTAGAAAAGGCTACTCTTTCCTATTTTTCATTATGTACACATCAGTGCAATCGTATTACTTTCTAATTAAAATATTTGTTTCCAAAACAGGTAGGTCCTTTTGGAAAACTGCTTAAAAATTAAATAGAACGGAAAGAGGCATATTTCTACTCGATTAATCTTACATCTGATCATCATCATTATTGTAAACGTTGGGTAAAACAATACTTTTGTATTTTAACATTGAAATTTTAACGTGTACAGCTATTTTCTCTATAAAAACTTAATCGAATAATGTTTTTTTAACATTTTGCGATTCATATTTTATAATTTTCCTTTTGTAAGCACCAACTACTACCAATTGAGCGCAGTTCCATTAAAAGAGTGCTTGTACCAACAGCGATTTCTCTTTGTTAGAAACAAAGCCCATAATCGACGTTAAAAAATAGAGGAAATATATAAAGGATATTTGAAAATGTGGAATCCTGCTAAATGAAATACAAAAAGGATTCTATGTAAAATTAATAACGTGAAAAATAAATCTCCAGTCAAGCGTACAAAATAAGCTAAACGAAATAAAAATTTATAAATGTACATATGTTTTGAAGCACGAATGTTTCTCGGTTGAATATTTTAAGGCACGTATATTAAGACTATATTGAATTTTATTCACGGTCTACGGACACTATATTTTTTATTATCATACACAGATAAGATTATACTACAATTTTATTATACAGCGGTGTACACTACAAAGAATAGTGTTTATCAGTAAAATCAGGATATTTCAGCAGATACGTAGAGGAATACTATTTGTGTTAGATTATTTATGCATCTTTATTAGAGAAAATTTACCCACAATCTAAACCAACAAAATATTATTTATTCTCTTCAGGGAAGATAGTTTATATTTTTATATTTACTTATTGCATATTATTTTTAAATTTATCTAAATGTGCAGCGAATATTGTATATACCTTTCGAATTATTTAGAATTGGAATGTCAAATCGATCATGTTCATTCTAGCGTAACTCGCTATATTACTTTATCACAAATTGCTATGAATAATAAAAATGTCACAAATTTGTTACCTGGAAAACAGGTTAACGAGGTTAAGAAATTTTTTTTAAATGAACAGGTAGGATCAAAGAACGGCATGTAATAAATATTCAAAAGCGAATATTTAAAACATGAAACTACTGGCGTATCCTCTTTCAATATTGAATCTGTGATAAGTCTCAGACCTGATTAACTTACTAGTTTTCGTTCATGCAAGTTCCCTTATTCGGACAAGTAGAAGTTGCGGGTTACATCCAACTGATGGATGAAAGATAAAATTGTCTGGCTGAGCAATTCGTCTTATGGTAATCTTATTGTCCTTGTTCATCAAAGAATAATGAAGAATCAGTACCCTTATCGCAATCTCAAGAAACTGGCTATAGAAAATTAGTTTACGACATTACTGATAGATGGTGGTTTTAGTAGGCCACTAGGAAAAATGGCATTTTTCATCACTCAATTCGATTTCCATCATGTTCAAGTCGCTCAGTCATTACGTGTACGTCATTTGTTACATCACGTGAACGGTTTGAATATTTATGAATGCCATTTACTTTGACAAATAGATTTAAAGCCTTTCAACGATCTATCAGCGACATCTTTTTAGAATTGATTCTGAAAGACAGAATGCTTCTACCTACTGAAGTCATAAACGAACATATAGAAAGCTTTAAACTATTTGAAACGTCTGTATTTATTTATTTTTAGTTACCTCCATTTATTTATTTACTTCCATTAGTTTCATATTAATACTAACATTAATATATTAATAATACACATAATAAATATATATTAATATATTAAATATTAAATTAAAATTCAATTAATATTAAATATTAATATATACACACTATGTATTAATATATGCAGAAAATTTATATCGTGTAAGCAAATTATATGTTTCGAAAGGAAACCTGGAGCAATTAAATAATGCATTTTAATATTCACTATCTTCTCTAATATGTCGCTTGTATCTTTTCCTTATAGCCAATTGTGAACTCAAAGAATGTTCTATTATTTAAATCTATCCTGAATATTGTTATTATGGAATCTCCAGATTGTGATGAACATAGATATTAAAATAACTAGAATGCAGATTCATTTTTAATTATCATAAGTACACTGTGCATTCATTGGAAATACCAAATTATGTATATCACGGATTACCGCTTACACTCATTGATATGCCAATGTACATGCGAACTTGTGTATCAGTTACATCTCTAAAGCTATTAACTGTACTACATTCCAATCGATTGAAATCAAGACTGTGTTAGTATCCAATGGAGACACACCTTAATGCGAATCAATTCTAATGCGAAGAGCTGGCTCACACAGAGTAAATTAGTGAAATATCCTCACGTGCCCTTGCTACACCTGTACCTACGTCTATGAGTCTGTTTCTTTGTTTACCATCGGGTCTTTTGTTTCGTATCAGTCGTACTAACGTCAGTACAAAACGAAATAAAGCGCTATTACAGTGAACTTAAACAAAACATTCGAATACAGTCATCTGTGTTAATGTTAAATGCTACAGTTTTCATTTTTGCTCTCTAAAATTGTTCATAAGTACATAGTATGAGATTTAGTATAAAAATCTGCCACGTTTATTTAGATTATAGTAAAAGCGTTAATATTAATTATTTCTTCCTTTAGTATTGCATTAATAAAATTAGTTATTTATGAGTAACATAATTAATATCATAAATTTAACAAAGTTAAATGAATACTAGGAGTAATGAGGGAGGTCAGTTTCTGGCTGTTATTAAAATGTTTGTGAATGGCATAATGTGTATCATGTTCCACTGTGAGATAGTTTATAAATTAGTTATCGAGGAACATTTTGTCCTGAGATACCCGTTTCGCAGTATATTAGATTACCCTAGAAAATACTGAAATATCGAAGTTTATTCAAAAGGAAAAATAACAGAAAATATCGAACTGTGATTACAGCAAAAAATCCTTTAAAACGATCTATCAATATGTATGCTTTATCTATCAGTATACACGGTTGGAAAAAGTTGGAAACACGTCCAATATTTTCTGGGATAACCCAACAAAATCACAATAGGATACGAGTATAAAACAACTGAATACGAACATTTTTTTCATTTATATGTGTAGATATGTGTACATATAGAATGTCCATTTTAATTAAAGCACACGAGTATCGTCGAAACTGAGTGATATTAAAAATATAGTTCAAACGGAATTACTCCGTTTCAGAGAGAACATTTTCCAACGAACATTGTTTTCCTTTCTAATGAAAGCGCCACTGGGATTCATTTCTTTGTTTTCTTAAATGGCACCATACATGCTCTTTTAGCTATACCACTGCTCAAGGCCATTCAGGGATAACCCCCACCAGCCACTCGACTGCCTCAGCTATCCTATTCCCAACCATTTCATTCCGTTTAGCTATCTGAAAGGTTGGGGACGAAATGCATTTCTCTCACGGTGCAAAAATGTGATTTCTCTTTCAATTGTTCTAGAAATAATCACGTGTAGTTAATATTCCGGATGGTATTGACTTATAATACGCGGATCTTTCCTCTTATTTGCATTTTAAATCATTGTTTCCAGTCATTCGAAATTTATATTCAACCTGAACGATCACGAAACTTTCCTCATGTATATTCGAAATACACACAAATATATACACGCATATTCTGAATACCAATATTTTGCAAAGATTAATAGAGGACGTTAATGAAAAAGTAGAATACGTGGACCGAAAATAATGGACATTTACAATATATTACTCGTTATATATGATATAAAGCTACATTTTATGAGGTTTATAATATAACAATAAAAAATTAATAAACATATTAAAAAAGTGAGTTATCAGTTTTATAAATAGCTTTATGACTTTTGACTTCCCTGAGCTACTAAAGCTTTGAGGAAAGTCTTGGAATCGTTTAGTAAACGTGAATTCTTAAATGATGCTAAATGTATTTACATAGAGAATGATATTACTGAAGAAACAAGTACAGTTTTTCAATTTTTTATATGCTTCCATGAAAAAGAAAACTGATGGTCGTCGATCGTAAAATATCTGCCTCGAAACAGAATAAATTTCTACCTAATATAATTCAAGAAAATAAAAATTCCATAGTGATATTTACACGGAACACCCTATATACACATATGCATATACACGTGCACAGGTTGTTTCATAACACGTAAAATTCACTTCAGGCGAGCATAGATGTCGTATTTAACTTTCCTCTTGAGTTACAGCCATTTCTGAACATTAATAATGCGCGTGAAGTCACGTTTATAGAAAGTACCACTTAGAAAATGGCCAGCTTTAGTCTAAATGCAAGTTTATGCCCGTCGTGTTACAGAGTTTCTCAATTCTTCAGACGTTCCAGGCAACTGTCTACCATCACGTACGTAAGCAGTTTAACAAAATCATTTATACTAATCATGGTTGTAACTCAGGGACTGGATCATACAGAGCACGTGTTTACGTGAACTTTCTTCATTGTTTTCATCTTCCCTGTTCACCATTTAAATGGATGTCCCGTGTTATGAAGCACTCTGTATATAATGTGTATTTAAGAACTCTAGAAAGAATAATTCAAATCTCTTTATGTAGTCGTATTATGTTGCTTTAATGTATTATGCGTGCGGCTATCAGTCTTGAGAGAATTTAAATTATAACGCATATATATATATACTTACCAGGTGGTCCTGGTCGACCGGGGGGTCCTTCGAGTACTTCAGCTGTAAACTGATTCCCGCTCAAAGATGTCATACCTCGGTCGCCTCTATCACCCTTGTCACCCTGTGAAGAATAATGTTACGTCAATTAATGGATGTTTTAGAATAAGATTAACGAGTCTGATAGAAAACGAGAGGTCAGAACATTTGATGTTTATCATTTATATATCACATCGTTTTCGAGAATAATAAAACCTATGAAATTATTGTATTTTCGATATACAGATATGTATCTGTTAGATAGTCATAGGAAAAACTGGGGAGAACGATTTGACAAAAACACGTACTACAAAGAAATGAAGATTAGTCAAGAACTAAGAAAAATACTTTTTACTTTCAAATACTTTTGAACTACGTTGTTACAATAACTAAGAAAAATTGTTAGAATTGAAGCAAATTCCACAATAGTGATATGTTACTGCCCTCTACAAAATGGCGGTGTGTTATAGGATGCAGTACAATGAGTGTAGTTCGTATTGTTATAAACTTTTGTGAAATTAATTTGTTCTTCAATATAAAATTGAAATAAAAATTAGTTATACTACTGCAACATTTAGTTTTTTTCTATTTAACATCGCAGAGAAAAAATGTGTAATTGCAGTTATATAAGATTTGCAAATCTATTCGGAATAAAACACTGTCCTTTCATTTTGTTTTGAATGAATTATCAACTACAGTTAAATGCATTTCTCTAATTACGCTGCTTGTTGCTTCGTCCGTCGTTTGATTATATTATGGTACATGTATACGTTAGACAGTAGTACATAACTCTAAAGACACACAGAGTACGCGCTAATTAGTTTAAGTGTGAAATTATACTGTAACTACCGAAACTATTAACGTTTACAAGTACAAATGTTGTAAATTTTGAATGCACATATTTTGTCAGATTTTGTTTAATCTTCATTGTTTAATAGATGATAATTGTACCACTAATAATAATTTTTCTTCATAAAATTAATTTAACAAGTAGCTCAGTGAATCGCTCAAAACAAAGAAATAGATTCATAATAACAAATTAATTTATACTATTCAAAATCATCCTTGGTTATCTTTTTTCATATATTTTGTACCTGGCTTTTAAAATGATCAACAAGTGTACGACGAAAAAGTTTGCATGTTTTTACCTCAATTATTTTTTCCTTTTTACTAATATATTCACTCGTATATTATTCAAATAAATTTTGTCAAGGATAGTTCATGAATTGCATTGATCTCAATCTTTTCATGAGTACGCAATATTAAATCTTGTCTAAGATGTTTAATTATTATAAGTTATTACGAATGACTTAGAAACTGGATAAATCTTTTCCATTACTTTTCCTTCTGTCCTCTTAATCCGTATTAAAATTACAAGTGTAAGCTTTTAATGGTACAAATGTTTCACCTGCGGGCGTATTGTACACATGACATGGTATAACGCGTGAAATACCATAAAAATCTAAAAAAAAAGAAATACTATATAGCAATTGAACAGACAGACAAATTATTTATAAACATAGCTCTGACATAAACGTCACACAAAGTTTGTTACGTACATACATGTGACAACAGTACAATACACGAGCGAGCTGCGAAACATGTGTGAAGTTGCCAGCAAAAGTGAAATTTCTGCTAGAAATCGAAGGCAAAGAGGTATGTAATACACCTTCAACCCTCTATCGGCCAATTGTGAAATCAAACTTCCGCGACGGGAATGAATCAGATCGGTAACAGAAGTCAAGCAAAACAGAGGTCAGTGCATTCGCCTCTTCTCCTTCAGTTTACTTACACAATGCAAACTTCACCTTTATTGCATAGAACTATACGTCGCTCGCGAGAAAAACATTGATAACCTCAAAATTTTCATAAAATGAAATGTCAATTTTCATTCTGGAATATGTTAAGGTACGAGTATAGAAATTGTCAATCTTACTAGAATAACCTATAGTGTCAGTATCTGTGTTACCTTAGGACCCGGAAGTCCCGCCGTACCAGGTGGACCGATTGGTCCAATAGGTCCTGGTGCTCCCTTTTCACCCGATGGGCCAACATCACCAGGTGATCCCTGCCTGCCTTCGTGTCCGGGAAGACCTTCGACTCCCGGAGGACCGGGTGGCCCCGGTGGTCCAGGTTCGCCTGGCTCTCCCTGTTACGTTCCAAGAGTGTTACGTCGTTACCGCTTTCTTCCGGCGAGAGCCCTCGACAAGAGTGTCTCTCGGTACTCGTCGGTTTGTGCCACAGACGAAGGAGGGACAGGGAAAGGAACAGCGGAGAAAAATGTCGGTGGTGAATATACAAAGAGGCAGATAGAAGACGAGAGAAAAGAGAGAGAGAGAGAGAGAGAGAGAGAGAGAGAGAGAGAGAGAATGAGAGAAAGAGAGAGAAGAAAGAGAGAGAAAGGAGGAGACAGAGAGGCAGATAGAAAAAAGACAAATAGGAGGAAGAGGATAGAGACTGCGGATAGAACAGAGAGAAAGCGCGTGGAAAAAACTGTGCGTGTATATCACGTATACGTTTAATTCATTTTAGAATGTGCTCTTTTAGGTTATGAGATATATAAGGTACTATTGAGATACGAGAAAGTAATTATAGTTTAACCCCTGCGGCTTATAATAGCGAGATAATGAACGTGTATTATCGTATAGAGTCAATAGAAGCGTATTGTAACGAAGTTTCGGTTCTGAAATTGTAGTTTCGGTTTGTGAGATCGAGAATCGCTAGATGCGAATTAGGTATAATATTTCAATGTTCTTTTCAAGTAACGTAGTATTAGGCGAATAAACACCTGACGCTAACATATGTGGCTAATCAAAAGTTGTAAAGCAAAGGGTTAACTACTAATGTGCATGGAGAATCCCGACAGTGAAATATTATTGAAACACTCGTAGCTAATAGCTCAACGTATGTTTACGCGTGTATGATCCTTGTGTTAAGCGACCATTAGCTCCCCGAATACTTAGATATAAATATTACACGATGCGTGTATGATCTGCAATTAATTTGATAAATAAATTAATTTCTAGCTAAGCGAAAATATCGAATTTTTGTATGTTGTTTAACAGAAAATTAATTTGGCAAAGGAGATGATAAAAGGAAACAATTACTATACTATACTATACGATAATTTTATTTGTAAGCTTCTTAGAAAATACTTTATGAGTGAGATACACCTTTATGATGTAAGAAACTATATCTTAATCAAAGATAAATTACTTATCAAAACTTCATTGAAACTTATTAAAACTTTCATCTTGAACAATGTGTTTTAAAATAAATGCTGTTTGAGATAAAGGTTATACTAATGACTCGAGTATGGCGGAGAAATGGCGCGAAAATTCAATTCATTATCTTCCTCCTTTTGTTTTCAAATATTCTTAAAATTGTTTGAACTAATTCTTTATTGATATACTTATAGATCTTGTACTATGTTATTGTTTTAACATGTTCTTAGGTAAAACGTAGAGAAAAAGGAATTTATTATAAATAAAAAAACGATTAATTTCTGAAATTAACCATATGCTTACTTGCAAATTATTGTGATAAGAACATGAAACTTATATATGTTCCACGCACAGTTTTAGATTCGTAGAGCATCATGCACAAGTCAGATATCGAACTTAAATAAATGCAAGTACTTGTGTATTAAAAACTCGGTAAAAGTTTCTAGGAAAACTTTCCTCTGCTATTTGGTATTGAAACATCGAATGTAGCATAAGCACTAAACGTTCTTGAAACTTGTATTGTAAACGGATATACAATAGAACAACAAAAAAACTAATACTGCTATGGCAAATATAATCTATCTTAATAACTTTTAACTTTGTGCATAAGTAATGTACATCTTTAAGATATGGTACATAATATACATCCCAGTTGTCAAAGATGCATCTTACATGGCAACTTATACTATAAGATGAATCTTACATACATAATTTATCAATTTTTATTAAAAAATAAATTTCAATTATTCTATCTATAAAAAGTTGTTAACAATTGAAATCACTTTGCACGTTGTAACTAAGATAGAAAAATGCTTTCAATAACCATACTCGTTTAAGGTGTATACATTACCGTTCATAGATATCCGGATACTTTGGTCCATTTGTGATAATAGTAGATGGGTATAACCAACTGTACAAATTAATGACAAATCACTAAAGATGACACTTATTACTTTCTTATTCAACTAATGATAAACTGATAATATAAAATGCCATTTGACTACACTTAATAATAATTATTTATTAAGCGTAATTATTAAGAATAATAATTGCATGCAATAATAATAATGAAGAAGAAAATCATGAGCGAAGCTTTTACCTACAATTTTGTTTTCACCAGTAATTTTCTATTCAATATACAGCGTGTGTATTTAATTCGTAATTTTCTAATTAAACTACGTTCTGTCGAATGTAAACAATTATCCGGATACTTTTGAGCGGCAGTGTACCTGCATATGCATACGTATACACACGCTTTCGTACATATATCTATGCATACTATTTAATACATTCGTCTAACAAATTACATAATGTACACGCTGTACTATATTCTTAAAAAAACTTACGGTCGCAATAAGATTCATAAAATGGAGGAAAAACATGCAATACACGCACGTGCGTTGTTGAATATGCGTGATATATTGGAGGTAAAATGGCATGCAGAGAGAACAGGACCGTGTTTCTTTTCTTTATGTCTTCTACATCTTTGTTATTAATTTCATTTTGTGTATTTACGAAATATATCGTAATAAGCGGTATAACCAAGAGTACAGCGATTCTACATGTAAAAACGAATCGAAAATGTAGAATACAATTTATATACGAGGCATCGTTTCTCAGAAAATTAAGCTTGAAAGTTCTTGGAGTGTACTCCGTGCTTGATAAAGTTTTGATGGCGTACAATCGTCGAATAAGGTTCAAATAAGGTTTCTATCGCTGTTCAAACTCCTGAATATTCAAATCGTTTCCTGATTGCCAGCTTTATCAGTTTCCCCATGAATGAAAATTCCAAATTTTTCTATTAACGAACGATGACGCGGCAACTATGCTGCGTAGTGAAAGCTTCGGCACGAACATAACCAAAGAATTTTTAAACTCAATTTTCTCTCTAAATCGAAGGTTTACATTGAAATTTTTCATTCATTTTCGATTCGTTTTTGAATCTAGAACCAAATTCTCGATTCTACCATTCATTATGAAATATGTTAAATATGTATCGTGGTGGTTTCCAGTTACAGGTGATTAGAAATTTTTGTGCATATTTCGCTTGGCTAACTCTTAAGAATCGTTCTAAATAATAAGAGAGTAACCTCTAGGTGACGTTTATTAAATATTGTAATCTTATAGAATACCTTTTTAAAGTTTTGGGAAATTCGAAATATTAAAATACAGGTTCTAATCAAGAGACAATCCAGTCGGCAAAAATCTTTTAAATTTTGGTATTAATTAATGCAGGGTTTACAGTTGAAGAATCAAGAAAGAATGATCAAATTTGTTATTTGGCTATGTGAACTTTAACAGAAGAATCTGCATGTCTTCAAATATTAAAATTATATTCTACTAATTAAATACAGATTTTATGTATTCTTTTTAGTTACATATACAGATACATCTACAAATTTCTAAAGCAAAGAGACTAAAATAAAGATCTCATCCTATTATTTTCTATCAATTAGAATTATTCTCAAGTGCAAGGCAAAAAAATTCCAATATCAAAAAGGAAGAACCACCCTGGTGTGTATACAAGCACTTCAACAATTAACTCAATGTTTATGTACATGTTACATAACTTGTAATATAAAACAATAATTATACCATAAGTTGTAACAGATCTTTGTCCAAAGTTCAGGAAAGTAAGATATTTACTTTTATCACTACTTACTGTTGCTGTAATCCACTTAGCAAATAATTTAAGATTAAGTTCTTAACAAAATGCGATAAAAGAGACTGTATCCTACACGGCCCTGAGGAAGAAGGTATAAAAGAATGAAACGATACTTGGTATGAAGTTGTAAAATAAGAAGGTGCAAGGTAAACTGTATATCTTTCGGTACGACGAACGGCCATAAAGAGAAATTTCAGTACGTTTCATTCGTCTTGAAAGAAACCGTTCAGAAAACTTCTTTTATGCACGTTATTGCTCGATTCACCAGCCAAACGACATATAAAAATAAAGTACGTATTGAAGACATTTTCCAACATTTTCTTTCGCATTTTTACTATAATAACATTTTGATTTTATAAATCAACTATTTTTTCCATATCGAATATGTCTATAAACGCAACAAACAATTAAATATTTTATTTATCTGTTAAAATTACATACGTATTTATAGGTTAACAAACACGTGCACGCGATAGAGGTTATGGAATATCTGTCGAACAGTTGCAACGCAAGAAATCGAATGCCTGGAGAATCGATGTCAAGAAAGGGAAGGGGAAGGGGCAGGGGCTCCCAAAGAGCAGGCGCACTTACTTTCAGTTGTATGATGGTCTGCGCTGAGATATTATGCCCTAGCTCCTGAAGTCCCTAGAAGTAGGTCAACACTACGGGTAAAAACCAAATCGCTACCAGACGAAAACATAGGGGTAACGGGTAGGTGGGATAACCTAAAATGGATCATTTGGGAATATCTCGTTTCTCATTGCTCTTCCGTATCCAAGGCATGCCCAGAGATATACCTAAATACTGTAACTTAAAGTAAATACCATTACCAACCAAAAACCAAATACGACAAAATGCGACGATAACATTTTGATGCAAGGATAGCACTCTCATGTGTTTTTTAATATATTTCTTAATATATAAAGCAGAAGAAAGTTGTTTCATTGGAATAATTCTTTGTTTAGTAGAATACTGAGCAAATTTTTGTGCAGATTTAAGTACAAAATGATATAAATTATGCACAGTGTTGTTGAAATATAGCTTGACACTTGGCAGACTTGTGCTACTTATTATGCTAAGTAAGTAGTAGTTAATTAATATTGATCTTTATATTACCTTTTTCTGTGTAAATAGCAATGCTTTATTTCAGGAATTTTTCCTTATAGTATGTATGTACAGAAAGAGGGTATATCGAGTACAACTTCACAGAAATATATCAAATTTATATTTAGACAACAAGGATTAATTTTAAGGTCTCTCTTCTTATGTTTTTTTTTGTGAGAATTATAAGCTTTTAAAATTTCAAACCTGTTTGTTCCATCATTCCATATATCAATTACTATCATAGTTAGTAATATCAATTCAGCATTTTCTAAATTACACTTCATTTTACTCAGTGAGAAGTATAAGTCCTTAAAATTTAGGTCCTTTTTCTCAAGCATGCTATCCATGAAGTCCCGCTCGCAATCGGCAATCTAAAATAAAGATCAATGTTAATCAACTTCGTATTTTCTGAAACATCTTTTACTTTTCCCGGTAAATGCTATAAGCTTCTAAAATCTCAAACTCTTTTTCTTCACCAGCCTGTACGCCAGTTAATGTCCAGTAATCTGGAAATAACAGTGAAGGTCCACTTAGCCTTACGTTCCAAACAACTTTTTCCTTCTCAAGCTACATCGAGACTCCTCTAAAGAGAAGAAACAATCGAAGAAAAACGGACACAAAACGGGGTGCTTATCCTCGCAGCGAAAGTGTCGTCGCACTTTAAACCAACGAGTGAACGCTACACCGAAAGCACCGCACGAGGCAACGACTAGAAATAGGATTGTGTCTAGGAGCGCGGACAGAAAACTCAAGGGAGATAGATTCCAAACGTGGAAACCTGGTGCGGGTTGTTATAAGAACGTTCGTGGACATGGCGATTGGTCGTGAACTAAAGGAGAAAAGGCGGAGGTGGAATAGCGTGGAAACAGAAGAACAGAAAGAAAGGGTACAAGAAGCAGGAGTAGCGACGACGAGAAGAGATTTCTGAACTGCAACACGAGCCGTGTTGCCTTCCGAAGAGGCCGGTTACCTTCAGAGCGACGATTTCCGCATAGCCAAGCGTCCCGCCGCGGAGCGTCGTCACCGACCTCTTTAACCCTAATCCCTGTGCATTGACCCGTAGGCGGAAAGATGGTTTATATTGTTAATCTGTATCATCGAAGATCGATACGCTGACGAGAGAAAAATATAGTACGTCACACCTCGCGCCACGTGGCCATCGAGAGTCCTCTGAACGACGATCCTTCATCCGAGCTATAGAGGAGACATCGAGGGTTTGTCGATTCATGATACTTCTTGGTATCGATAAATTTAGTCATGGATATTGTATACAATTTTTGTAGACATCGTGGATATAATCAGATTCGTAGTTATCCTCTGTTATTTTGGAATTTTATGTATGTATTTGAAAAATTATCTATGATTATAATTGCTCATCTTAGGATTATTTACTGATACTTGGGATAAAATATCCTGATGAAACATGAGAACAAATAACGGAATAAAATAAAGCTTAAAAAGTATACATCAGTAGAGTTCCGATAATCGATACGAACGTCATTTGGTAACACCGGTAATCAATTAAGGCTGCTTTTAAAACTGATTACTGTTGATACTAGTCCAATTAATGTCGTGTCTGTTCAGGAAAATCTCATCGCATTGACAATTATCGTCGCAAGGACAGAATAAAAATCGTCGCACAAATTAAAATTGTCCATAAATTACGATAGCGTCTTAAAATTATTTTCCTCGTTTTTAATGAATTACTCAGATGTCCTCCGTCCAGCTGACGCATTTGGTAATCCGACATTGGGAAAGTTCTTAACGTGCGGAATTATCAAAATTCTACTGTACTACATGCACATGAGGATGCAAGTTAAAAGTCACGAGGATTAGTAACAGTGGGCTTTTAGTTTTAACAAATAGCTTAATAAATATTACAATTCAAATGAAACTTCTAATTTCTAATCATATGAATGTGTACTTATTTTTAAAAATAAAAATTATCTAAATTTATAGTATCCATAACGTTATCTTTGATTTATCTTTCTGATTATATCCGTGGTTTACAATTTCCAATTATTCAGGAAACAAAGAAAGTAAAAGATCTTCAAACGCACTGTGTGGACTCTTGATAGCAACGTGGGTAATTGTCAGCGAGAATCGATACGAGTCATATTCGGCGCTTTGAATCGAGAACGTAGCTTCTGTTCCTTAAATACCATACACGTATGTATCTGAACATATTTAGGCGCAACTGCTCGTCGTAATTCATGCCACGTCTGTTTCATCAGTGTCGGCTGTACATGCTCTTAAACATTACCAAATGCCAATTATAGTTAAGAACGAAGCCGTTGTCCTCGATCGTTGAGCTAACGAGAAACATCGAGATTCACTGTCCATGTGTTCACACAAAGTTGCACATAGATATTACCTTGATTACGTGCTTGTAAAACGTGGTCTCAATCAGAGAACTTGATCGAAAAAATTATTTTTTCAGAAAAAGTTACATTTCAAAGATTTCATCGCAATTATCTGACGTTCGAGATCAATCTCTTAGTTACTTTTAATATTAACCTGTAGCAAGTCTTTCTATGACCAAAATCAAGGTCAGATGGTTATTAGTTACTCTGTGATACGATGATAAATTGTGACACTTTAATATTTATTTCAATTAACAGCAAAAATACTTGAAAAAAAACTTTTGAAATTCTTGTCCCTGTGTTAATTGCAGAATCTTACAACTTTCTATTTTATGAGCCTAATAAAATTATCAGGGAATGTGCTAAAGAAATTACATTTTCTTCAGGTAACTTGCTTCATTAACAAGTTTACTTCGTACGTCTCGAATCTCAGATTTACAATATATCTGGTGATATCAATTCGAATATAATACGTAATTTAAAAATTAGGAAATTTCGAATAAATCTTTGGCAATAATTCAAGTAAAATATATATAACGTTTTGTAACACAGAAATAAATTTTGAGTGAATCATATCCGTTGGTATGTAGCATAGTATATCATATTCTCTGATAGAAATACGTCTTCTTCAGCACGCACATTACGAGGTACATAAATAGACTGTACATTATTTGTCAGAGAAAATACATCATTTATCCTTTGCGCCATTTTGGTCCGCGATTCTCTACATTTTATTTTTGTTTTTTCTAGTCGTAATTAAATGTCGTTACCAAATAGCATCCTCCATTGATGGTACGGAATTTTACGAGACTGGTTTACTAAAGAATAGCAAATTGCTGAGGAAGATCGAAAGGAGAAACGATGTACCTTCGAATTACACGTACGTCGTTTACTAGCTGCGTAATGCAGCTCTGATGCTGTTTCTCTAGATAACGTAGCTAGATACCTTTACTGCAGAAAAGACGTCAAAGCCTGAACTACCCAGTTCGCCCTTCTGCCCTTTATCTCCGGCTCGACCCTGCAAACGAAACATACACTGTTGTATTTGATGGGAAAATAACATTGTGTCATAGCGAAAAATCGAAATAAAACCACCGACCGTTCCAACGAGTTTCGAAAACCTTTGTTTCCAGTTTAGCTGACTGACTTTCATTACATTCTGTTATCGCGAACAGTCGAACGTTATGTTTTTGGCGAACCACGAGTACATTTTTGTAACTCCAAATTTTACGTGAGTTTGCTTTCAATAAAGAACGACTTGCGTTCTTTTTATATTTTAAACGATTATATACAATGATGTATAAATGTACTTCTTACAAAATATTTAAAAAGTGGCTATTGGGAAGATAATAAATAATTTGTTACCACCATCATCGTATTCGATATCGAACTAGAAATTAATTTTAACTGGCAAATTCTTTTTTATGGACAGAGATAAATAGTCCAGTTATTAGAGGGTTCAGAAGTTGGTAAATTGTATAATAAACGTATTTAGAAATATTGAGCAAAATACGTTTAATTGCGCACGTATTTTTCCACGCCCCTGTATAGTATAATCTGATGATTTCATATTTCTCTTCTATCGAAGTAACATTTGAACGTCAAATTTTGTCACGAATAGCAGTATTAAATTGACGTTATTTTTATAAAAATAGCGTAGCATGACATTTGATAAGCTCTGGTATATTTTATCTGGTATATATATGGTACTCTCGTTGGCTATATATTTACATATAAATCGTCAATTTGAATTGTGAAGCTTATCGTGTGAATGAGGTTAATTAAGAGTTCTATTTAACTTTCCTTTTGTGAAAAAAATTAGCCTTTCACAGTGAAATCAAAATCGTAGTGGTATAAATTTAAACAAACAAATCTCGACGTACTGCAAATTAAAAAACAGTGTATCCGATCAGTCCAATTATAACATTAAAATCTAGTTTTTCTGTGAATTCCCCAATGCTCAAAAATTCTGTTAGTATTACTCGTTGAAGAATATAGAAGAAAGTAATGTAAGCCAAATTATCAATTAAGATATTGGCGAATATTTATTACGTTCGAAAGTTCGTCGATTAATAGGTAAATTAGCTTAGAAAAGGAACAAAAGCTTCAGCATCGAATATTAAGATTAAAACTTTTTAACGATATAAGCTGTACAGTGGTAGTCGCAATAGAAACTGCTAATAATATTAACCCAATATTTTATGGTTTCTTCAAACAATTGCTTCGTATTCCACATTTGAAATAATCGATCGACTGTCTAAGAAAGCAGGCAGCACAGTAAATGGGTGCTATATTTATTAATTCTTTCACAACGGGTGGTTCTAATATGGAGATTCTTAGGCTGCCATGCGACTATCAAAAATCTGTGGCTAAATGCTACACGGGTTCCTATCACAGAAATAAAAATGAAATTAAAAAGTATCGTTTCTAACTACTTGTTGTTTAAAACTGAATAAAATCGTTACTATATACAAAAAATTCTTTTAACAATAAGATAACCTTACCTATCAAAGAAGATGAAATGATCAATCATCGATTTTCTACTAAATAAGGAATTGCAGTTACATTACAAAATCAGAATTGTATTATCGATTTGTATCTTTAGAAGTTCACGTAGAACAGATCTATCGTTATAATTAAGACGAATTTTTTAAACCACGTTTCAACAAAAGAACATCGAATTAAAACGTTCGCGCGCGATACGAATCCTAGCTTACACGTGGTGCCGCCTTAAGATCGGTGGATGCACAAGGTTAAGCGCGCGTAATTCAAACGGGTTAACAGTAATTACAGTTACTACTTATTAAATTATTATTGAACTATGAGTTCAATGTATTATCTTTAAGCTCAGATTCGACGAAACAAATAATAACGATTTAAAAAACGAGACTAATTATTATAAAATACACCAAAATAAAATTACATTAATTAAACTAATGGTAGGTTTCAGAACGACGAAAAATGGTATCAGCTACAGATTTTTGAAATATCTTAGGGCTACGTAGGTGGTTTTCAATGTGTGAAAATATGTTGTCAAGGTAATTAGTGGAAATTAAATGCCACTATATTAGGAATGCTTTGTTGGATATCACCTACGTATACACGTTTGTATTGAACGAGAACGAGAGGCACGTATATACGTAAGAGACCAGTTCTCGCATGAGTCGATCGAAATTCTTTCAACCCGACCACCATCGACAGAACAAATATCGCGTGATATTTGCAATGCACTCATACTCTTCTACCCTCCACCCTCGTTTTTCTCTCCTCCTATCTATGGGCGTTTGTACATCCGTTCGTACCACCCGCCCAGCAATTCTCGTTTTACTCGTTTCGTTTGCTCTACGACAAAATGCACGTATAACATATGCTTCGTGATGTTTTTGGACCGACATGTTTCAAGTATTTACAATTAATTTACAATTAAGCAGAACTTGGCGAATTTACATGTTTCTCATTTATACATGATGTTTAAAGCTACAATGATATTTCAATGCTCATTTATTAAGATTTCTCTCTGTTCTTGATATTTATTTATTTATTTAGGACTCACTAATACTCTAACATGCGATATTTATTTGTACCGAAATTTTACTAAATTTGTGTTAAATTTAAAAATAGACTGATAGACATGGACATATATTTACAACTAGCATTCAAGCACCAGGGACCAATCCTTTTCTTTTCCTAGTTGTATACTGTGATTTAAAATACATCGAATATCTATTCACTTTTTCCATTAAACAATTCAAATTCTCTTCTCGCTGTACAGGTAATCCTAAACTCTTGAGCTCTAGCGTATATTTCAGAAATTTAATCCATTTGTTACGAGCAAAAGAGCTTTGAAAATACATGAATTCGTGAATTCTAGTTATTGGTATTTATGTCATATATCTATGTGTACATACATATTAATGGATTCGCGAATAATCTTCCAACACAGTTCTTTCTCCGTTCACGTCCCACATATCGAATCAATTATTTGTTTTTTCAAAATTTCGTTGCGGTCAGTTTGGTACCTGTTTCAACATATTTGTAATTGTAAACAGTGACATTTCTCTTCTTCATTTTGTATTTCGTTTAAACTCGTTACGTAGCTGAATTTTCATTGGTGGATGAAAAATGCGAATCCGAGAAATTATATTTCTTCAATTTCCATTACTCAGAACTTTCTAAACAATTACTTACGTGTCTCTCAAAACCACGCTTCACTTCTCATACAAATATTCTTTGTTCATTAAAGTATTTATCATACTCCTATATCATACGCTGTTTTCTTGTATTAAGTACTAGTAGTTAACCGTGTTAGAGTTTCGGTGCTAGTAATTTATTCGTCTACCAGTTACACGCTGGATCATATCGAGCCAGCAAACGATAAACAGCGCGATTTAATCTGCAATTATATCTGCTACATGTATAATTAACACGTAGTGCGTTCCTCCTACTACCAATTATCGGTTATTAATGTCTCCTAGTTTAACCATCGATAAATTCGCTATCTTCCATTTCCACGTGTACCCTATTACCTTCCTCACTGCAAATTCACCACTTATTCCAAGATGATACGCGTACTCTCTACCCTACGATTTATAGATTATTTTACATGAAACTCTAAGACACACGAATTTAAGAAAAAAGAATATAGATAAAATAGATAGGCTGTGCGTACACTTACCTTCTCACCTTTTGGTCCATCTAACCCAATAGGTCCCTGAAAGAACACGCTAGTAAGTTTGGATAGTCGATTCGAACTGAGGGTAAAGGAAGATGAAAAATCAAAAGCCTGCTGACAGCCTTTGAAAAATAAAATCATTCCTGGCTATATATGTACGTATGCGAGCATACGACAAATAGAGGCGTCATCGAGTGTTGGAGAACATCAAAATGCTTTCAGATATGACGTTTATTTCATGGTAGTTGTGATTGTACAAAGTGTCCCCAAGTAAAATAGTTTCTCGAACTTAGGTGGTAAGAGAAGATAAAATGAAGTGAAAAGTTTCTTATCAGTGAAATACGAAAAATTGTTATTTCTCAGCAAGCGAACAAATTGTTTGATAAATTTTTATTCGTCTCATTCCATCTTATTTCTCTAAGTTCAAGTTATTGATATCTTTTTAGAATACGAATTCTATAACTTTTATAATCAATTCCATACCATGTTAATTCAGATTTACTTACAAAAACTTTATAATAAAATACTTGTCCAGTATAAAAGAAAAAAGAAAAATAAGAAATATGGGAATTAAATTGTTATGGAATTAACATTTCATTGTTTTAAAACAGTGTGGTATAACTGACTTTTTATTCTGTTATATACAAGCATCTCATTTCAGTCAATATTTTCTGATAACTTTGTGACGAATTGTTATTTTCAATTGTAGATTGTATTCCCATTTATGAGAAAAAATCGGGAACACCCTGTACATTCACTATACTTTGGCTTCTATATATAAATTGTGCCCGTATTACAGTTTTCAATAAATATCTTAATTCGACTACAAAAATTATTTCATTTACATACGTATGTAGATAAAGAGATACCATTTGATACGATTTTTCCATTCATAATTTCTATAGAATCGAGATTATAATTGGGATCATTAGTACGTCCATGTACAATTAGTGTTATCCATCACTACTTTTTTTGAATAGCAAACTTTTTTTGATATTCGTATATTCATTGTTTATATTTATTCGACGCCATATCCAAACGTCATACCTGAAAGCAAATGTCGAGTTTCAGTTTCACGATCAGTACATGTATAGACGTAAATCTGACACTGTGGAAAAAAGTGTAAAAAAGGATATTGCTGAAAAAATTGTGGAAAAAAAGCGCAAATTGAACGAATAAAAAAATGAGAGAAAGAGAGAAAGAGTGACAAAAAAGAAAAAGGAGGAGAGACAAAGAGGGAGAGAGAAAGAAAGAGAGTATGAGAGAGAAACTACATGAAACACGTTAATACAAAATATGATTTAATCGGTGTTACGTGCATACGTGAAGAACGAGTATACGAAAAGCTGTGTGAAAAAGTGTAAGGGTAACAAAAAAAAGCAGACAGACAAAGTGACAGAAGAATGGAAAGAAAATAAAAAATAATATACCGGAAAACCGTTCTGGCCCGGCGCCCCGGCCATACCCTGTAAGAAGGGGTATAAAAAATTAAAAACTCGTTTACAAAGGACAAGGGTTAAGTGCTCTCGCGTTCATGCAAAAGCAATTATTCCGCTGACCAATCGTGTCCGCGGTGTATCATGATGTACATACTGTTAAAAGGGGTCCGTACTACACCGATAATTATTCCAACCATTAGATATTCTCATGGCGACTAAATACACACGAGTATGTACCTCAGTTATCAAAACTTCAGGTCATCCTGAGTCAACCACGTTGACATACTTGCTATTAAAATCTTTCATATAACGATCAATATTATTCGCAATGAAACAGGACACTTTGTGTAAATTTCTGATATGTGTTCATAAATCGCATCGAAGGAAAACCGTTTCTCTTTAACCTCACTGTGGCGAAGAATATCAATCCTTTCATTCGTGTAACAAACATCTTCTCGTGGAATAAATATTTTCCTGGAAATTCTTTTCTTCTCCGATCCTCTCACAGATCGAATGATAACAGTATAGAGCGTTACGAAGACAGAGTTTGTGATTCTGTAAACTTACTCCATTCATACGAAGAAATAGCAAATATCTCAACAATGTAGATCTTAAAATCAATCCTTTAGATGTTACATCAAACGTATTTGATATTTCAAAAGCGTTTGATATTTCAAGCGAGTTTCCTAGCAACATATTGAATATAAATATAAGAACTAGTTTGATAGTACATTAGCATTAAATTACAAAATAATACAAAGGTTACTCGATACCTATCGGAAAAGTAGGTCGCTACATGATCTACAGATGTCAGTCTTGTATCAAGATGGAAGACGCATCAAATATCTTTTACAATTCTGAAAATAAATTTTTATATTCCTTATCCGTAAGATTGATTTTGGGATCTATAATAATTAAAAATTTTTTATTCATTTCACTACGTATAGTGACACGAAGTCACAAACCCTTCCTTGCTTTCAACTTGTATAATTAATATAATTAATAAAAGGGTCGTGTTCCTTCATCATAAGTATCACGCACAAGTGATTCGATCGTGAAATAGCTGCGTACATACCGTGTGTACCCATAGTTACAAATTCGGGGAGACTGCATACGTATCGTTAGCGACTACACATCATGCTTTCCAACTACGCTCTTCAACACGCACACTGCACGTGCGAGCACGACGGGTGCACTACGGGAATAAGGAGCTGGGTGAGTGGGGACATAGGAACGGATCTACTCACCTGCGGGCCTTGTTCACCCTTTTTCCCTTTTTTCCCCCTCTCTCCAGGAAGACCTCGCTCACCAGGAGGACCTATAACAGGAACAAACAATAAATCGATACTCACGACGCACTTAAACGAAAAAGCAGGGTAAGGACAGAAGAGGGTGGAAATGAGTTTTCGGTGCTGTGAGCGAAACGCGATTCCGTGAAAGAGACAAGAACGGGTGGAGGGGATAAAAGGCAACCCTTGGATCGAACTCGAAACGAAGTTATTTTCCCACCCTGTGTCCTTCGTTAAGGATATTTTCGAAAGCCCTCTTGGCGACGTGTTACACAGTTATGCAACGCGATATCAATCGATCCTGGGGCTACACGCGTGTTTCGGGAAACATTTTAGGTTTGTCACTACGTTTGTTAGATAATAAGGTTTTCCATAAACGTATTTCCATGTAAAACGTTCCATAATGCCTGGTACCGGTCGTGGAGAAATTATTTTTAACGTTCTCCTAGCTCTTTTTAATTTTTTTTTTTTTTTTTTTTTTTTTTTTTTTTTTTTTTTGTATAACCGTGGAAATGGTTTTCATTGTTATTTCTTTGGTCCATGTTCATTAGTCGTTCCTTTTCATTCGCATAAAGCAATAGGAACGCGACGCTTTAACAAATTTCATTTTTAAACGATTTCTTAGTTTGTCACGTTTAATGATTAAGGTTAAAAAATTTACAAGTTGAATGTGAATTACTCTACGTGTTCTCTTAGTACTTTATTTTTTATAAAGCAATTAGTTTATTATCTTTAACTTATATTAAAATTCTTAATTTACTATTATGCTTTTAATAACCTTAATTGTTAGATCAATTATTAAATAAATTATAAAATTTCTAAATCGGATACTCTATACAAATGTTGATTAATTCTCTAAAACAAAATTGGATATATTATTCTTCATAAATATTCTCAAATCGTAGACACTTCGATAAATTTGTAACAGAAGCGTATAAACTTTATCAAAGCACACGAATTAATGGTGACAAAGTTAAATGGTATGAAATAAAATACATTTTGCAATTAAATTTACGCACTTTTATATATCGATGTATCTGGAAAATGTAATGGAGCCCACACTCAATATCTTCGACGTATCTTCAAACGTATACGTTGCCTGACCAGGTTCAACATAAATAACCAAGAAGTTCGACGAGGCTTTTCAACTCGCGGCAAAACAAATTTAACATGGCTGTCCCGACAGATGAAGACGAATAAAAATGCCATGATATGCGATTTTCAAATAACAAGTACAAATTTCCTATATTCGTGACGTGAACCACTTTTGTAAGCACCAGCACAATCGAATTTAACAAGTTTCTTCAACGAAAATATTTAATGACTTTAATAAAAGTACTTAATTTTATACAAAGAATGTGACTATATACTTCACTCTCGAAACAACGGCTGAATGCACCTGCTTCTCCCACTCTCATCAATGTTTCCCGCGCCACGTCTCCACTCTCCTTTACCATCGAAGATGCATTGATAGTTAGATGGGCAAGTGGCTGCGCATTTTTCTAACGAAATGTAAACAAAATAAGGCAAAAACAGTGAAAAACGTGGCTTATTCAGGAATTTAGTCTTTGTTTGTCTTCTTTGATAGAAACATGTCGCGTGCGTTATCCTGATTTCCGGGAAAAGCAAAAGCACGACGGGGTACCTTTCTCGCAGAATAATTCAATCCAGATATATTCCTGGAACCGCTTCGACTAGCTTGAACGGACATTTGCCCGTGGTTCGAACGTTTTGCTCCTCTTTCGTTTCCCGTTTACCGTGATCAGTGATATTCCGAATAGGGCGTTATACGCGGTAAACACGGGGAAAACGAAAGGATCGAACGAGGACGGCGTGGGAGCAAAAACAAAGGGGGAAAATACAGAAGAGGTCGGAATGAGCGATATTAGCCGGGCGTGAACTAACTTTCCTCAACTTTTTTACAATCCAGGACACGAATATAAATCTCTGCGCCAGCTGACGAGAAGCAGAGATGAAATAAGAAACGTGCTAACAAGGAAAGTTCAAGGGTCGATATCGGCGGATATTGAAGGAACTTGAAAACAATTCTACGACGAGGCCGCAATGTACGAAAAACTTGGGAAACCTTTCTCTACGAGTAATAAAGTTTCGTCACGATCTTTATATATGTATATAATTAGATTTCAAGTAAAACTTGTGGTAACAATGTCGATTCCAGTCATTTGCCAAGTAGTATTGTAAGATATTGATAAAATTTATAATTACTTTTCACGTTTATAAACGATACTTTAATTTCAGAAATATTTGATATTATGAAATATGAAAAATTTGATATTTGGTAATACGAAATTGTTACAATATGTAATCTTATATTGGAAATGATGAAAGGTAATAAAACTATGATATTCTTTGTTACTGAAATTTAGTATAAGATATTATTAAATTTAAAACGTAATTTACTACTTTTAATTTGATAAAATGTTCATTGCTGTAAAAATTTGATTTCCTTTAAAACTATTTGATATTTAAAACAATAACTGATCTGAATAATAACTATTAATCATTCTCAAAATAGGAATATTGTTTTTTTAAACGCTTTTGCAAAATAATTTGATGTATGAAAAACAATTTTTCTATTTTGAAAGTAATTGATAGTTATTATTAAGATAATATAGATAGTTATTACTAAAATAGTTATTATTAAGATCTTTTAAAACATCAAATGGTTTTAAAGAAAATCAAATTTTTATTGCAATGGACATTTTAACAAACTAAAAGTAGTGAACTACACTTTAGATTTAATACTATTTTATATTAAACATCAAATTATTTTGCAAAATTTATATAAAACAAATCCAATAATATAATTGTCTACTTTACCCAAAATTTTCAGCAGCTGTTCATGCTTTCTGTTCTCAATGCTCTTAAGTACTTCCTTCTTTCCTCCCCTTCAAGAGGGAGAAAACGAAAAAGGAAGGAATAAAAACAGAAAAGAAAAAAGGGAAGGAAAATAAAGTTGAGAGAAGGACTCTAAAAAGGAAATGATATGTCCGTGTGCACGGTACATCCGCCCATCACAGGATTATCATCAACGACTAAACGCAGAGCGGGCAATGAAGACATCTGTTTGATACTCGCTGCTATTACGAACACGGGGGGCAGCAGGAAAAATAAGGAGAACAGGAAAGCACGGTGAGCAGGGACTTTAAGGGGAATGGTAGAAGGTGAAACAAGGATAAAAGGATAGAGAGAGCTTCCCTGACATGGATGATACAACCAGGAGTATCAAGGCGATCGATCGCTCTACTCAGAGGAAACTACATAAACTCACCTAACTAAAGGAGAAAAAAGAAATCTTTCGTCGTAAAGCAACTATTTTCCTTTTCTACCTTTCTATATATATTCCATTTCGCTTCGTTGTTCCCATTCCTTTACCTGCCCTCCCTCTTCCGCCTTGTTGCTCACGATGTAGTAAGTTTTCTTCTCCTTAGAGTTCTCGTCAAACCACAAATGACGAGTAGAACCACAAATTGTACTCCACGAATTCCGGTGAGTAACGAGGAAAGTTGTACGAAAAAGGGGCACATCGTGCTTCACGGGAGAAGACGGATCGTTCTCCTGGTCAAAGTTGAGCGAATAGAGCACATCCACACCTATGAAGACAGTGGTAGGGGGACAGAGGAGTGGGGGAACCGAGATAGAGGAAGACAACGAGAAGGAAGAAACCTTGTAGTCTAGACACGACGAAAATACTCGTCCCGCTTCGAGGTGTACAATAAAACTGCGCTTTGCACCTCCGTTCCGCTCGCCTGGAACGGTTGTTCCCGTAGGAACGTTCTCGCGGTAGGGGAACTCGGTCGACCCTCCGTGAAAGTCTTTCGCGCGAATAAGAACGAGATTAACGCGACGCTTTGGCAGCGTTCCGAGGGCAAGGGACTAAAGGCGGGCACGCAGCCGCGCGGCGAGCTAACGACACTTCGTTTTCGTTTACAGAATAGCTTCAGGCGGCCGGAAAATGAGCGACCGATACAAAGAGGCTTTTACGGCCAGGTATTCGACGGGTCGTTTGGGGACGAATGCCGTTAGCGATTGATCGTTACTTACTTTCAACGAAATTAGCGTTACGTATACCCCGGAATTCTATCTTATTCAATATCCCTTGGATAGGACAGGGGTTGGAAGGTATTATCAATTTCTTAGTGAAACAATTTCAAAGACCATTACTCGCTGTAATTATAAAAACCAGAGTCAGTGACGACTCTCAATAGCTTTTAATGTAACGATCTTTCAGTGGTTCTATTTCAGTTCCATATTGGTTATTATATCTTGATGCAGTCGTACATTAAGGTAGAAATTATACTATCGATATTATTATTATGTAATTAACAAATAAGTGATAATTATTAATTACTGTATAATAGGTGCAGAAATAATTACAGTTCGAGGTATACAGTGTGAAGTTATAGTGAAGGTGAGAAAATGAATAAATTATAGGCTACTATAGTAGAAAAATAATTATTAGAGGAATCAATAAGAATAGTGACATTTCGGTCCACGTTTAACAGCAGGTGCAGGTGCTATATAAAGGCCACGGCATCACAGGTCAAGCTCATTTGTCTATTTAATTTCGGATCAGACAAACCAAAATTTTAACCGGTATGGATCAATCACATTTCATCATCTCATATAATATAAAAATAATATTTTGATTATTTAACATATTATTATTACGAAATATTTAAAAATTTCATTCAGTTTTACTTTGGAATTTTCCGCGTTTTGAATAGAGATGGAAGAAAAATGATTTTTCCTTGAATATAATATTTTTTTTTACATTATATTGTTTTCCCTGAATTCAGAGAACAACGGTTTTTTTGTTAACGTAAAGCCTGCAGTTCAATTTTCAAAATACAAAGAGGTAATCCACAACACGGATGATCCGATTTCGGTGAATTGAGATTCTGCTACAGTGCGTTCTATAACTCTAACGAATATTCGGTGAAATTGGAGAGAAATTTTTATATCGTAAAAAAAGGTATTATGTTTCTAATGCATTATAGCTTGAATA